GGATTTAGCAGCTGTGTAACAGGTGATACGTGTTTTACGCAACTCGTATGGTAATGACAATGACTCTCGAGCTCGCCGCCATGGATTTCTTCAGGGTCTACAATCCTGCATTCCGTGAAGCAGAGTTACCAGCTGGCTTTAAGATTCACAGCTTTAAACTCCTCTTATCACGACGAACCGATTGGTACACTTTTTATGTTCATCAAGCGAACATCGTATCAAGAGCTTCTCGGGATCTGCTGTTCGGATTTTACCAGATTACTACTTTCAAGGCTTCCTTATCTGTTTCCCTGGTGTTAGTTCATTGCGCTTCCCAAGAGAGCATATCGAGATGTCGTCATTGGCTCCTTATATTTCATGATACTACCAAGACCACTGATGATCATCCCCAGGTTCTATCAGCAATGTCTTTGCACCTTCATCAGGAGTACTGGTTTGATGGAGGAACTCTGTGGATATATTCTCTTGGGCTCAGACACGAAGCATTACTGGCATTTCTGGCCTTTGCAAGTCGCTTGCTGCTGGCTTCTTATCATCGTTGCCCTATGGCGCGTCCTCCTCCCAAGGATCGTGCTCCGTTGCTGCCGAAAAGTGCTGCCGCTACTGACGTTGCTTCGTCAGTAGCAAGCGATGGATAAGGAGCCGGTTACTCCGGTTGCAGGAAGCTCTGGTTTGTCGCTGGAGGAGAAGCTTGCTGCGCTTACCTTGGCGAATGACAATGGTGTTGATGACGAGTTCACGGATGATGACTCTGATACTGAGCTGGAGTTTGAGATCTCCAAGGATTCAGCCGCGAAGCTTCGCTATACCGCGATCCTGCTGCTTCCCCTGGTTCTTCAGCCGGAAATCGCCTTAGTCATTGTTACCGTGAAGATGCTGTTGAAGCGCGTCTGGTCTTCTTTACTCTCTGACGACGCTAACACGTTGGTTGACTTTCAGGATATTCATCCTGCATACGTTGCAAAGAACAAGTAGAGCAGGCTTCAGTTATCATTTCTTAAGGAAGTGGATGCTATCAAAGTACGACAGGCTGCTCTTGAATATCAGAAGCCTAATGGAACGTCGTTTATACTGCACTGGCTTCACACGGAAAACGCGGCTTTCGTGAAGGAGAAGGCTACGAACCCGCGCGTCATTGAAGTTGTGTTCAAGGACGTACCTGCAAGTATTACTCCGGAAGCGGTTGAAGAGCTGCTGGTGAAGTACAAGCTGAAAGTTCGTCAGGTCACGCCGTTTCTGGAGAGCCACTGCTTTCATCGCGTTGTGCACCCAGTTTCTGGAGCTAACACAGGGGGTATCAAAGGGCTGGTTGTACTTGTCAAAATATGTTTGCATATTTTATATAATAGTTTGCAGTTGTAGTGTAGATATTGCACCACCTCCTTGTGGTGGTGCACCTCCTTGTGTTGCTGTTTGCTATTTGTACTCACAATTCTCATTAGTGAACCCCTTTTCTTGCCTTGCATTTCCTCTCGCTACTTACGTTCTACCCCACCTATGCTCCTAGGCTAGGGTTTCTCCTAGCCTAGGCAGCCTCTTAACTTTCAACATGCTATCAGAGCTGTTCGTTCCTGCAGACATTCTTATTAATGGGCCCACTGCTAGCCATGGCGCTCCCCGTCGCGCTTCACGTCGCAGCACCCGTCGCGCCCGTCGAGGCGCTAGTCAAGGCGCTCAGCCTGACGCCCGCGACGACCGCGAAGGCGAGCCCCGTGCGGTGCTTCGCTGCCCGTCGACCTTCTGCCCCGCTTCCCGTCGCCGCGGGAGCCCCGCTGCGCGTCGCCGCGGGCGCCCCGCTTCCCGTCGCCGCGGGAGCCCTGCAGCACCCGTCGCTGCGGGCGCTCCGCTTCCCGTCGTCGCGGGCGCCCCGCTTCCCGTCGCCGCGGGCGCCTCGCTTCTCGACGCCACGGCTTCCGATGTGGGAGGAGGTGGCGGGGTGGGGGGAGGGGAGACGCGAGGGTGGCTGTCGCCACTCTGTTTGCTGCTGCGCCACACCGCTACGCCACCACACGCCGCCCCTTCTCTCTCCTTGCTACGCCTGCAGCAGTGGGGGGGGGAGGGTTTGGGGTGGCGGGTGTGAGCAACATGCTGCCGCCCCTCCTCTCTCTCTCACTGCTGCACGTGGCGCTGTGGGGGAAGAGGGAGGCGGAAGTCAGCCGGTCATCTGCTGCTGTCGCCCGCTGCTGACGTGGCACCTCCAGCTGCCGCCCCTGCCACAACCTGCCTCTTGCTGCCTTTGCTTCTGTTGCCTGCTGCTGGGGCCTGCAGGTGCTGCCGTCGAGCCGCTGCTGTCCTGCTGCACGTTGCAGCCACAGAGCCTGCTCCTCAGGCGACCTGCCGCCCCTACACCTGTTTTTGTTTCTGCCTTGGCTGAGGGTTGGCTACAGGTGTATTTGCCATTTCTGCTCCGGCTACTTCTGCTCTTGCCTGCTTATGCTTCCGCTGCACTTCTGGTGTATCCCATCAGGGGGCGTTTTACACTTACTCCTGCAAACAATTATGGGGGCGTGTCAAAATATGTTTGCATATTTTATATAATAGTTTGCAGTTGTAGTGTAGATATTGCACCATGTTTGGTGGTGCACCTCCTTGTGTTGCTGTTTGCTATTTGTACTCACAATTCTCATTAGTGAACCCCTTTTCTTGCCTTGCATTTCCTCTCGCTACTTACGTTCTACCTGTTGGTGCAACCTACGGTTTGCACTCGGTTTGTTGTCCGTGTGCGTGCATGCATGTGTGCATGGAGTGGTATGAGTGCATGAAATAAATATATATTTCATGCTTATATTGTGTGTGCATGATGGGTCATGCATTGAGTGTGTGTGTGTCGAGTCTATAGCGAGTTATCGCTAGCCGCGTATTACGCGGTTATTTTGTGTGTCCCGCGCGGTTTCTATTTTGTCGTGCGCGGTTTCTATTTGTCGATTGTCAAACGTTCGGCGTGTCGCAGGTGTGTGCAGCAGGCCCATCAAGAACTCAAGGATGAGTTTTGTGATGAAGAACCCGAGCCTTGGTTCAAGCTTCAAGTGTTTTCGAAGCTCGCCAAAAAGGCTACACCTCAAGATATTGAAGATAGTTACATTACAATGTGTAGTGTAACATTTCTGTGGGTGTAGGCCCTTGTGGAGGGTAGTTTCGAGACCCTTCTTGGTTGGGGACAGTGTGGCACTGTTCCCCATCACTGTAGCTCGGTTCTTGGGGTTTCTAGGAGCTGGGAGTCCTTCCCAACTCGTAACTCTTCCTAGCTGTTCGTAATTGTGTGTCCTAGTGCCATAGTGCCGTTCGTTCAATCTGACGCTGTGTCGTCAATTCTTGATGAATTCGTGCGATCTAAATTGCTTACTGTAGGCCACGTTAAGACGCTCCAGATCCAAGTTGAATGAGGTCAATTGGAGCTGTGACCAGATCGCTATGATCGTTTAAAGCCGCTGTGCAGAAACCTGACTGCGCACTCTATCTTTGGTTCTAGGCACATTGAAGCCTATTGGAGCCTACTGTGACTATAACACTACCCCACCTATGCTCCTAGGCTAGGGTTTCTCCTAGCCTAGGCAGCCTCTTAACTTTCAACAGTACCGCACCCGGAGGATAAGAAGAGACGCTGGATACATCAAGTCAGTCATCCGCAGGAGAAGGGCAAGACGCTCCTGGTTCATTACCCTTTGCTCTCCTGTCGGCTCTGTGGGGGGTCGCATTATGATAAGTATCATGATGCATTTACCACTGACCGACAGCATAACATAGGGAAATGGAGCTTGAGCTTAGGTCGTATCCATGGGATCAACGGTAACTGTGCTGCAGCTCACTGTCATGATTCCTCTTGTCTTACCAGCCAGCTGATAACTAACCCTCTGGCCGACTGTTGCAGCTGCCTCGTTGACTGCGTCGCGTCTGGTCCGCCCGATCCTGCTCGATCCTGCGATCGTTCTTATCTCTACCGGGAGCTCCAGGGAGGAGTGGCTCTGTGTCCAGACCTGCTGCGGGAAATCACACGGGAAGCTGTTTGTCACTGCTGCCGAGCATATCACCTCTGCGCGTCATCTGCATGGTCAAGAAGAGCTCGGTGCTGTCACTCGTTTAACACGGGAGAAGGAGAATCTTCACACCGTCCGCAAGGAGTACGGGATCTAATAGACCCAGTGCGGCTCACCAGGATGATAGCGTTCGGATCCATGTTAACTGCTGCGTTCTGTCTTACCTGCCTGTGGATGCGTAGAGGCGTAGAAGGAGTTATCAAATGAATACACGGAACAGTTCGTCATTTGCGGGCCTGAATGTCAACGGCCTGGGAGATTTCACGAAACGAAAGTGAACATCAGCTTGGATCAACAGCAAGAAAGGAGCAGATGTTATGATTCTGTCAGATACCAGAGTAGCAGCTGATCATCCTTACTGCGCATCTCTTAACTTACCTTTTTCTCAGCCACCTCATCTGTGACCCGTGCTGGAGGAGTAGCAGTTCTCAGTCGGCGTCCGGATCTTACCTTCCACAACCCCTTAGCTCACTCTTTGGGAAGACTGGTGCAGACAGAAATTCATTGCTCTGACCTCTGTCTTACTCTGATAGCGACTTACCTTCCATCGGACAAGGCGGAGAAGAGAGCCTTCATCAGAATCGTACTTGGACCGATCATTAGTCTCATTCCGCCTGGGACTCATCTGCTTATCATAGGAGATCTCAACACCGTGGAAAACCCGCTGCTTGATAAGACCTCTAAGCAGGGCTAAACTCGAGAGAGTGATTTTCTTTACCATAATTGTCAGTCCGTTGGTGTCGCAGATGCTTTCCGCTCTCTTCACCCAGGGGAACGGGAGTTTACCTTTTTCTCACAGGCGCATCAGGAGAGTTCGCGAATTGATCGAGCGCTGGTCTCTCAATCCCTGCTCCCGCGCCTGGTGACAGCTGAACACGTCTCACCTGATGAACCAGTCTCTGACCATAGCTTTGCCATTCGGGTGGTTTTTAAACTAAAGTCGCAGCTGTAGTTGGGACCGGGAGTATGGCGGCTCCATCCTTCGCTGCTGGGTAGACCGGGGGCTAAGAAGAAGATTGAGGAAGTGGAGCGGTCGGTTACACAGAATGGAGAGGGTTTCACGTCTCTCATCTCTCGCTTGAACTCCAGTTTATGGTCATATGCTAAGGAGGAGCGTAAGAGAATATGTGCGACCATCGCTCACCTCACTTCGGCGGTAGCTGTGTTACGAGAGGAGTTTATGCAGAATCCGAAGGACCAAGCGCTGAAAGAGAGGTTGAGGAAGCGGGAGCAGCAACTCAAGGAGTACTTCGCAGGTCGGAGAGAAAGGATGAGTACCATGGCCGGGATGGAGTTGGCGTTGTCCGGAGAGATTCCGTCGCCTCACTTGTCGGCGCGGATCAAGACGCGGAAGTCCAGGACTCAAATTACAGAAGTTGCAGTTCCGGGTGGGATGGTTTCGGAGCCGAAGCGGATACTGGAAGCAGCGTCAGACTACTTTCGTAGTCTTTTTGGGGAAGACAAGCGTACGGTGATCTCTGACTGGTGTTCTGCTGCTGGGAGGAAGCTGATGTACTCTGATGTCGAAATGCTGCAGGAAGAGTGGACGGAAAAGGAGGTCAGAGCCGTGTCGCATGAGATGGCGTGCAACAAAACGCTAGGAAAGGATGGCTTACCAAAGGAAGTGTTCGAACTGCATTGGGATGTGCTTGGAAAGCACGTCATGGGGCTGGTACGGGAGTTCAGCCTCACTTCTTCACTTCCCACCAGTGTCAAGGATGCGGTGACGATTCTTTTGCACAAGAAGGGAGCGAAGGAGCAGTTAGAGAACTATCGTCCCATTACACTGCTGAACGTCAGTTACAAGTTGCTAGCGCGAGTCCTGGCGAGCAGGATGAAAAAGGTCTTGCATAAGGTGATCTCGCGGGAGCAGTATGGGTTTATCCCGGGAAGGCGTATTTCTGATGCGGTGGGGCTGGATGCCGATGTCATCGATGCGGCTAAGAATGGGAACGAAGATTGGTATATGCTGCTCGTGTTAGAGATTAAGGACTGAGTCTATGAAGATTAGGTGCCTAAATAACTCAAAATCGTTGGCTTAGAATTCTGGACAGAAACCGCGACTTCACAAGAAACGCCGTCGACGAAAAAGTAACCGTTAGAATTCTGTCAAACTTGATATGAAGTAGCCCTTGACCGTGGCTATCATTCCCAATTTGAATCGTATCAAAAGGTGGAGTAAATCTCGAGTTATGCTTTTCGGCGCACTAGGGGGTATGCTGCCACATAGAAACTTAACTCACTCACAATAGTTCTCAAGTTCACAAGAGTTGCACACAAGAGAGTTGGAGTAGGACTAAACCAGGTGGGAGGGAAGAGGAGGACGAGAGGGAAGGTCCCAAGGGAGTCCCCAACCAAGGAAACCCCATGCCACACAAATCCCCTCTCTATAGGCACCCCACCTTTGACATTTGTCACTTTCCCAACTCATGCCATCCACCTCAACCCACTTGGCCACACTTGCCAACCTGGTTTGGCTTCACCCAACCACATGGCAGCATTCTACAGTGATGGGTTCGAATTCCCAACCCTCAAAAATCTGTACCCCTTATGGAGCAAGCCCCACAACTTCCCATAGTCGCCGCAACCAAAGTACAGAAAGCATACGAACTCCAATGTTCGTAACTTTCTTGATATTGCTCCGATCGCGACGATTCTTGGTTCGTCGAGAAGCTATTGAGCAGAGCAATCACTTGAGACATCTGCTCAAGCCAAATAACATTCACACATACTCAGAAAATCCAAACCGCGCAAAACACAAATTCTTGCACACGCTCATACCACGCATGCAACGCACGAACATATGATGGGAGGCAGACAGACGTGAATGCATATGGTTGCATCACACAACAAACTCCCCCTCTGGCTGCCAACCATCATTCCACATGTCATAGCTCAAGCATGCACCCTCAATGCACACTCATTCCAACAAGCTTCATTCACTTCCAATACTCATCCTAATAGACAGTCATCTCCTTTCAACATCCCACTTCCAACATCTCCATTTTGCTCAAGTCTGCAGCAACCCTCTACAACCTCTGTCGCACAGCACTATCCTCCAGAGCATTTGAATGTAGCCCCGAAGCAATAGGCTATCTCATCCTCATTCATTCGCTCAGCCACACTCCCAGCACGTACCACACTTGGCTTCCCAAAGCTCGGGTAGGTAAGCCGGTTAGGAGGACGCACATCCCTCCTAGGACGGTCAGCCGCACGTTGCTGCTGCTGCTGCGTCTGCTGTTGCTGCTGCTGCTCCTCCACCTCATTTTCTCCCCCATCCTCAGTCACCCCAGAGATCTCCTCCCTCGACACGGAGACTTCCACCTGCCTTGAAGGCCGCTGCACCTCATCGGCCTCAATGATCAGTGGTGTCGTAGGAAGCTTTTGCTGCTGCTGCTTCCACTCCTTGTAGTACAGAGACTCGAGGAATTTCACATCCCTCGACACAGTCATCCCTGGTCAAGTCCCAAATGAGCCAGCCCTTATGATCCCTAGCAAGCCCCAAGTGCACACCCCATCTCCCAGAAGCCTCCAGCTTTCCCCTCTTCTCCTTAGGCACATGAAACACCACCATGCAGCCGTAGGCTCTCAGCATGTTGACTGCTGGTGCACTCCCATACCACTTGGTGTAGGGGATCCACTGCTTGTCCCCCACAGTCGCGAGCACCCTGTTCTTCACAACGACAACCTGCCGTAGTGCTGTCACCCAAAACGGATCCGGCAGCCCTGCACGCCCAAGGAGAGTGCGAGCACCTTCTTGCAGGGTCCGGTTGAACCGCTCAGCCACGCCGTTCTGCTGCGGGTTGTAGGGCACTGTAAGCTGATGCTGAATCCCCTTCTTCTTCAGCACCGCCTCAAAAACAGCGCCAATGAACTCTCCCCCGTTGTCAGTGCGGATCACCTTCACTTTGTGTCCGCTCTCCCTTTGAGCTCTCGGCATCCACTCCTTGAGAACAGCCGCTGCCACATCCCCCTTAGTCTTGAGAGGGTAGACCCACACCGCACGCGTGTGGTCGTCCACGATGGTCAAGAAGTAGCGGCTGCCCGAGAGAGAAGGGGCCCTCGTAGGGCCCACCACATCCATGTGCACAAGCGCGAGTGGTGCCGTTGCTGGTCCCGTGCTGCTGTTGAACGGGAACTTGGTGAATTTTGTCTCAAGGCACGTAGGGCAGCTCCCAATCTCCTTTGCTGCCCCTTTCACCTCCAGCCCCTTCAAACTCCCATCCTTCACTAGCTTCTGCAGCATCGGTATGTTGATGTGGCACAACCTCTCGTGCCACGTCTCTCAATCGGCCTCACCACTCCCAAGCGAAGCCTTCGCCCACGCAGCTGTCGCATCCACACCAGCAAGCACCTCACCATGAGGTTGCTGTGACTGCTGCACCTTCTTGACTGCATCCAGGGCCCCAGCAGTTGGTGCAGTCACCTCTCCTCCCGCAGTTGCCTTAGCCGCTGCCGCTGCCTTTGCCGTTGCTGGTGGTTTCCCGTTCCAAGGGATGATGGGCAGCTGCCATAGGTCCTTGATGCAGCTGCTCTTCTCCTCCAAATCCCACAGCAGCAACTTCCCAAGCTTCGCACGGCAGCTGGTTGGGCCGAATGTAACTTTGGCCTTGCTTTTCTGCAGCCGGCGCACAGAGAGAAGGTTAGCGGATAAACCTTCAACTAGCAGGACATTCCCAAGTCCCACAAGTCCCCCATTGGCTCCCATCACCTTGGCATTCCCAACACCAATCACAGGGAGCAAAGCACCTGAAGCGGCAGCCACAAACTTGATCTTCCCGGGGGGTTTCACCTCATCGAGCAAATCTGTGCGCGGAGTCATGTGACTCGTGCAACCTGAATCGATCACCCAGTGAGTGAGGGGGTGCATCACAACCTTCCCAACCGAACCCACGTCATCCTCACTTACTTTCACATCCTCAACCATGAGGAACAACCCAGGGTCAGCTTTACCTTGTGCACCATCACCTTGTGCACCTGAACCTTGCACAGCGCCACCTCGTGCACGTTCACCACTTGGCGGCTTCATGCCTGGGGGTGCCCATCCCTCAGGCCGGCTGAAACACTTGAACCACGAGTGTCCAGCCTTCTTGCAGTACCAGCACGCACCCTCCATTCGGGTGCTCCCCCTGCCACCAGAGCTTCCATGCCCCTCGTTGTAGTCACCTCGGCCTCTCCCTCTGCCAAAGCCTCTCCCGCGGCCTCGGCCTCTCCCACCCCCTCTTCCTCTGCTGCCTCCTGCAGCTCCATACCCCTCAGCAGTTTTGTTGGCAGCACCACCTCCCGTGTGGCGCCTGCGAAAGTCCTCCTGCAGGATCTGCTGCCGTAGCCACTCAGGCGTCCACTTGTCCTGCTGAACGTTGAGGGTGGGGATGAGGTTGTCCCATGAGTTGTCGAGCACCGAGATGATCTTGGTGCATTGCTGCATCTCCGACACCTTGCTGCCCGCCGCTGCCATCCTCGCATAGGTGTCCTTGATCTTGTCAAGGACCGGCTTCACGTCGTCTCCCGGCTTCATGGAGAGGGCAGCCAGCTCCTTCTCCAATACAATCACCATCGGCAGCGTGTTGGGTTGTACCACGTCGCGTAGCAGCTTCCACGCCTTCGGTCCGGAGTCGTCCAGCTCCACTAAGTCCTTGATGTGCTGGAACATGTCGTTGTTGACCGATTGAAGGATAAGGTCGTACAGCACCGCGCTCTTCTCAATCCATCGGTCGCGGGCATCACCTTCCTCCGGCATCTTCTCTTCTCCCATCGCAAGTTTGAGCAGCTTGTAGCGCTTGAAGGCGCTCCTCATCCGCCCGCTCCATTCCTCATAGTTGGAGCCGTCCAAAGCCTCGATCTTGGACGGTGGCGGTTCACTCTTCTTCTCAGCTGCTTCTCCACTCATCTCCTCTGCTCCCAATCAGAGGTTTCAGCTCCCCCCTTTGCTGTCCACACCGAAGTCCCACACAATTTCCACAAGTGTCGGCGCCAACGAAATTTCGGCAGAGTTTCCCCTTAGCGGAAGTCACTCCCAACCTCCAGAACTCCACTTAGGCACGCCCACAGGCCATGGTGGGTCTAAGAGGGTCTTCACACTTCAGTAGACTCCCCACAAAGTCCTCAATCAGCTCTGATACCACTTGTTAGAGATTAAGGACTGAGTCTATGAAGATTAGGTGCCTAAATAACTCAAAATCGTTGGCTTAGAATTCTGGACAGAAACCGCGACTTCACAAGAAACGCCGTCGACGAAAAACTAACCGTTAGAATTCCGTCAAACTCGAGTATAATGTAGTCCTTGACCGTGGCTATCATTCCCAATTTGAATCGTATCAAAAGGTGGAGTAAATCTCGAGTTATGCTTTTCGGCGCACTAGGGGGTATGCTGCCACATAGAAACTTAACTCACTCACAATAGTTCTCAAGTTCACAAGAGTTGCACACAAGAGAGTTGGAGTAGGACTAAACCAGGTGGGAGGGAAGAGGAGGACGAGAGGGAAGGTCCCAAGGGAGTCCCCAACCAAGGAAACCCCATGCCACACAAATCCCCTCTCTATAGGCACCCCACCTTTGACATTTGTCACTTTCCCAACTCATGCCATCCACCTCAACCCACTTGGCCACACTTGCCAACCTGGTTTGGCTTCACCCAACCACATGGCAGCATTCTACAGTGATGGGTTCGAATTTCCAACCCTCAAAAATCTGTACCCCTTATGGAGCAAGCCCCACAACTTCCCATAGTCGCCGCAACCAAAGTACAGAAAGCATACGAACTCCAATGTTCGTAACTTTCTTGATATTGCTCCGATCGCGACGATTCTTGGTTCGTCGGGAAGCTCTTGAGCAGAGCAATCACTTCAGATATCTGCTCAAGCCAAATGACATTCACACACACTCAGAAAATCCAAACCGCGCAAAACACAAATTCTTGCACACGCTCACACCACGCATGCAACGCACGAACATATGATGGGAGGCAGACAGACGTGAATGCATATGGTTGCATCA